CTCTGCGGGCATATCCGGAGGCTCTAGTTCTTTGTCTGTGACTCAAGCTGCATTGATATTTTTTGGGCTCTGTAGATTGCTTTTTCTATATTTCTTGCTTCTTTACGGTTGCCTCGATTGTGATGATGCCATGGAGTGCTGGTATCTTCATGCACAAGTAGGCCATATCTGTGGCGTGCGTTGAATCTGGTTGTGAATCCTCTGCCTGAGGATAGCATTGTATGGGTAGTCTGGTCGACGACGTCGAAGGTTATGTACTTGGTTCTAGCATTGGCTTGGTTTCCAAACGACACGAGGAGTGATAACTTTCCTAGTGCTTAGAGTCTGCTTTCCTCCAAATCCTATCAAGGGGATTCGGAGGCTGTGAGTTGACTCTGCTTGAGCTTCATTTGGTCGAAGGTATGTGCAAAGATGATGTCTGCTTTGAAATGCCTGTGTCAACCAAAACTACGCTTATCTCCCATGCGGCAATGTTGGTCTTGATTACCATTAAATGCTGTGTGAGGGTAGCTTTCTAGCTGGAGATCTTCTTTCGTGAAGGTGATTGGGACTCTGGACCAATCTGTGTATTTTGTTGGGCCTTGGACTGCTACGTTGTTTACCAGGCAGAGGTGATCTTTTTTCTGCTTTTTCGTTTGAAACTCCATTGATGATCCTCCGGCAATTGGCAGTATCATGCCTATTGTTGGTAGCGGTCCATGGGGGTTGACTTGGTTTTCTGGGTTTGGCTCGTTTTTTGGTGTTGGGAGTTGGTTGTGAGTAGGCGGCGGAGGCAGTTGTTGAATGTGTTGCTGTTGCGGCGAAGGCTCGAACCTGCTGTGGTTTTGTGGCGGTGGGTTTGTTTCGAGGTAGGTTATGTGGGGAGGATTTGGGTTTATGTAGGTCAGGCTTGCCTCTGACCTGTAGTTGCCCGTCGGATGCTGCTGCGAGGGCGTTGGCCGCCATGCTGGTAGGAAGTTTGGGTAATAGGCGGAGGCTAGTGTGGAGGGATGTATTTGGTTTGCGTTTAGCGCTGGATACATTGGGCAGTACTGCTGGTGGCTAGTTGTGTAGGTGGTGTTGACCTCTCTTGCGCTCTGCTGTGTCGGAGGCTGTGTAGTCTGCTTGTTCTTCATTCTTTCCTGTGTCTCTTTTGTCTCCGGACAATCTTTGGTGCTGTGCCCTACGCTTTCGCCGTGAAAAACGCAATATGGCCTGCGTTGTTTCTGCTTGTTTTTGTCCCAATTTTTGCCTTGGTAGCCTTGCCGACCTTGGTTCCTGGTTTGGGTCTCTGGTCCTGCTGGCGTTGCCAATTGCCCTTGTTCGGGTTGAGGTTGACCCTCAATGTTGAGCACTTGCCTCTGGCCTGTCTTCTGATTTGATGCGTTCTGGTTCGGGTAGCTCTTCTGGGAGTTTTTACTGCTGCTTTGCTGTCTGTTTTGACCCTGCTCCTCCAGTCTTTTCCGGAGGTCATTATCTGATCTGCAGTATTTCTCGAACTCGTCATACAACTGTTGTATGGAAGTTGGTTTCTTTCTTGCTAGGTGTGCTGCGAACGGCCCGATTCAGAGGCCTTTGATCGCTGCTTCAATGATGATCTCATCTGGGACGTCTGGTGCCTTCGCCTTTACTTGCACGAATTTTTGGAAGTAGTCGTGTAGTGTCTCTCCCTACATTTGCTTGCACTGGAACAGATCCGTGGATGTCAGCGATTGTGCGGCTAGTCCTTTGAAGTTTGCCAATATTTTGTCCTGAAGGTTTTCCCAAGAATAGACCGTGCTTGGTTTGAGCATGGAATACCAAGCCAACGCGTCGCCTTCGGCAGCAATGACAAAAGACTTTGCCAGGACGGCGTCGTCTCCGCCGGCGGAGGCTACTGCTGCCTCGTAACTCATGATGAACTGATGGGGGTCTGTCTTTCCGTTGAATTTTGGCAGTGTTATTGGCTTGTACGATGTTGGCCATGGCGACTGTTGTATACCTTCTGAAAGTGGGGACTTGGGATCGGTAGGCCTCCGCATCACCTGAGCTGGCATTGTGGGCTGGTTGATCACTAGCAGAGGCCCCTATGGTTGGTTGTTGTTGCTACGGAGGCTGGGATTGTGGAGGTTGAGGTCGGTATCTCTTTGCATGTTGCATACTCAAAGCATCAAAGCATGTAGGATAGCAACCGCTTTGTCGATTTCTTTGCTTGTCTTGATGCTTGAGTAGCTTGCTGATTGACTACAAACGCTGCTGCCATTCTGTCTCTCTCTTGTTGCGCTCTCTGCAACTGCACGTGCAGCTATTGCAGTTCTTGGTCGAGTGTTGCACTGGATTTGGTTGGGCCTCTGGACCTTGGATTTGGATCTTGGGGCTCTCGGTGGTTGACCACAGGCATCCGCTCTGGTCTTGACCTCATTTGGCGAAGTTGCGAGGTGCTGAGTGGTGCGCCTAGGCCTTCCTTTTCGACCCGTGGTCATTCTTTGCTCTGGTGGTGGTTTTTCTTTTCCTCGCCATCTTTGGTTTGCCTTGGCCAACCACGGTGGGCACCAATGTTGAAACTTGCGGTTTTGAGAGACAGTGGCTGGGGACCTCCGCCCGTGGGACGGCTGTCCTCAAAGTGAGGCTCGGTTAACATCAGAACGATCATTGGGCGTGTATGGGAAAGGAACACGAAAGCTAGGGTTTCATTAATGCATTTTCCAACCACACCTGCATGGTTACAAGTGTTCCCTATTTATAGGGCTCAACTACTTCATGATGTAATTTATTACAATGCCCTCAACTGCGCTCTGAGACATTCACGGAATATTCGCCGCTAGCCTCTCGTTTGGGGGCAATCGCCATACCGTCTCCGAGTAATGGGCCTCCATGAGCGATCGGCCCACCATGCTTGGTCTTGGCCCAAAGGCTGGGTCCCCAGTCTTGGCCTCCATCTGTGGGCGCCACGCTATCTCGGCGGTTCTCCGCCCGGCCGGTCGAGAGACATCTCCCATGGGTCTCCGCCCGGCGCCATGGGGCCATGGTGTCGACAGCCTGGCCTCCGCCAGTAGGCGCCCGTCGCCCTAGCGGGTCTCCGCCGGTCCGGTCGGAGGCATCATCCTGAGCCTCCGCCCGGGCGTGGGGGTGGTGGCCATGCTGGATCCCGGCGCCCGGCGCCTTGAGTACTGCACACAATTAGGCAAGATCGTTGTTTAATTAGTTTGGAGGTGAGGCGGCCTTCGCCCTCCTGGCCGGAGGTGCCCTCGTATCCTGCGGACTGCGCGGGTCTCCGCCACCCGTGGTGGCCATGTTACAACACTACCTTCATTTTCAAATCAAATATATTAATGAGTGAACTACTAATTGAGTTGCTCTACACGTCAAGCAGTAACTTCATCTTGATAGTTCTTCCTAGTAACTAAATGAAAATTCACTCATTCGTTCGTTCAAAAAAACAAAAATTAAAAGGGATCAAACGAAACAGGAGCAACATAAGCTTTTTCCAACTTGGGACCCTTCTTCCTCCTTGCTAGCACCGCCCTGCCCCTGCCCTGCCCCTGCTCACACACGTTGCGCACCCCTCCTCCGTTGTCCTCTCCCTCGCGCTTCCACCACCTCTTGCCGCGTCACCCACCTCCTGTCACCGCCTCGACCCCACCCTCCCCTAATCACATAATAGCCGGCGACCACTTCATCGCAACACACCTGCCGCCAACCTCGTACAACCGTTATCTCCCACTGCCCCAACGGGTGGCATCCCCACGCTGTCTCACACGTCACCATCCCTCTTCCTACACCCACCGGTGAGTGAATCTCCTCCTAGAAAAGCCTAACCCCAGCCTCGATCGACTCTTCTTCTCCTCTCGAGCGGGGCGCGGATGGATCGTGCGACCCATCACGTGTTTGAGTTTTGTCAATCTTACCATGTGCTCGCTCGTTTCATTTTGTTTCTGTCCTTGCACAAACGGGTTTCTCTAATCTTGTGCAAATAGGGCTGGGGGAACGAATCGTAATCCACAAAGAGCGGCCTTTTCCGGGAGCGAGGGCCAGATAACGCATCTTTACATGGGCTTGATAGTTGATACGTCGTCAGTCGCCACATTAGCCAGGCTATAGCCCATGGACAAATGCGTCCCGAAACAGGTCCATTCCAAGAAAGAACATCTCAGCGACTTTTTTTTTTTGATAGCATCACAGCGATTCGATGCTGATGGTATGTATTTCTTGATTAGAGTTGAGGCTTGGACACTGATGTTTTTTCTGACCCCATAAATAAAATATAGACAGAGCTTGGACACTGACTTTACTCGCACGCTGAACAGCAAAACAGAGCAATGCATGCATTTTTCTCTTCCCTCCAGTCGCCACTGTGCAGTACGGAGCTACTACGGCCGACGGCAAGGACACGGTTGACGTTTCAAGCTGTACGTACTGTCTTGACGTTGGTGACAGCGACGCTGGCAAGGAGTAACAATTGGGTACACTGTGGACGGACCTCTCCGCTCCGGGCGGTTGCGTTCGCCGTTGGTCGTCGGTGAGAGCAGGGCAGGGCGGTCGGCAGTCGGCAGTCGGCAAGGGAGGAGCTCCGTTTCTGCTGCACTGCACAGTGGAGCCGGTGGCCGAAACAGAAAAGGCCCTTCCGGCAGGCACCCTGCAGGAAACGCTCGCTCGCTTCCTTCCCCTGTTTATAAGCAACCACCGCCGTCCCACTCTGCTCTCAGTCAGCCGCGGCCACAGGCAGGCCCAGTCAGGGGCGCACGCTGGACCTGTTCCACGGCCGCACGCTCCACCCCGGTGGACGCGACCCCTGAAACAAACTTTTTTTTTTATGATGACAAGAAACACCGCCGGCACGCTGGACCTGTCCCGTCGGCTTCACTCGCTTGCGCCTCCCGCGATACTCGCCACCTCGCCTCGCCGTTACTCCCCCCACCATCAATGCCCTCTTCTTCCATTGGCCTCCCTCTCCCTCTCCTCCCCCTCTGCTTCGACCATCACCTCGCTGGCTGGCTCTCGGCGGCGTCTACGGCATTGCTGAGCCCAGCGGGGAGACGAGAATGAAGCCTCTGTACCTGCGGAGCAGCGGGAGCTTCAAGCGGCTCCTCCTCCTCCTCCATCGGCCACCACCGATCGCCCGCCACCAAGCCACCCCCGCCGGCGGACGCCGACGATGCCGACACCAAGGAATCCCCGGAGGAGCCGGGTTCCCCGCGGCGCAGCAGCAGCAGGCCGGCGTGGCGCTGCTTCTCGTACGAGGAGGTCCACCGCACGACGGACGGCTTCCACGAGCGCAACTTGGTGGGCCGCGGCGGGTCCTCGGAGGTGTTCCGCGGCGAGCTCCCCGACGGGCGCGCCGTGGCCGTGAAGCGCCTGCTGGGCGCGTCGGCGTGCGAGCGCCGGGAGCGGGACTTTTTGGCGGAGCTGGGCACGGTGGGCCACGCGCGCCACCCCAACGTGTGCAGCCTCCTCGGGTGCTGCGTCGACCAAGACCTCTACCTCGTCTTCGACTTCTCACGCCGCGGCTCCGTCGCCGCCAACCTCCACGGTACGTGCATCCGCGCGTGGGACCGTGGGAACAAGAACCGACACACACCGCCGCCGTTGCCGTCGAACCAGCGGTAACTGGCGGCGAGGTCAATGAATGCGCGCGTGACGTTTCTTTCTTTTCTTTCCATGACATGAATGATCGGCAGACGAGGCGTTGCCGGCGATGGGGTGGGCGGCGCGGCACGGCATTGCGGTGGGCACGGCGCGCGGGCTGGAGTACCTGCACAAGGGGTGCCGGAGGCGGATCATCCACCGGGACATCAAGGCCTCCAACGTCCTGCTCACCGACGACTTGCAGCCGCAGATCTCCGACTTCGGCCTCGCCAAGTGGCTGCCGGCGGAGTGGACGCACCGGGCGATCGCGCCCATCGAAGGCACCTTCGGGTACGGTAAACCCATACCCATGGATCGTCGGTCGTCGCTCGTGATCGACGACGACGACGACTCCCCTGTTAGTTCAGTTCATCAGCCATGTTTGGTTTTCCGATCAGGTGCCTGGCGCCGGAGTACTACACGCACGGCATCGTGGACGAGAAGACGGACGTGTTCGCGTTCGGCGTCTTCCTGCTGGAGCTCGTCACCGGGCGGAGGCCGGTGGACGGCAGCCACCGGAGCCTCCTCAGCTGGGTATGTCTGTAAACAAGACGTTTTCTTTCCTCCAACCCGCACTAGTGTTGTAGTGTGTCTACTGACCACTGACAGAAACTGGTCGTGACGAGACGAATGAACAACGTATATATACGTGCAGGCCCGGCCGCTGCTGAGCGACGGCAAGATTGAGGCGCTGGTGGACCCGAGGCTCGGCGGCGACTACGACGGCGAGCAGGCGCGGCGGGTGGCGTTCGTGGCGTCGCTGTGCGTCCGGGCGCCGGCGACGTGGCGGGCGTCCATGACCGAGGTGCGTGCGTCCCTCCCGCTTTGTGTGGTGTCGTCAGGTGGCGATCACTCACAAGTCAATCTCGAGTGGCAGGTCACCGTACCGACGCCCCTGTCTTCGTGCGAAGCACTGCAGTGTTTTTTTTTTTTGGTTAGCGTTTCCGGGCCGGCGAGTTTAGTCGTAGTTTAGGGCCGGCGTTCGTGGCACAGGACACCGGAAGCTACTGGCTGACCTACAGTCCTACGCTACAGTCCACTCCTTACGTTGCTTAGTTTACCTGTAACAGTAGTTAGTGTGAGTGATAATGTAATGCGGTGGTGGTCCGTGGTGGAATGGCAGGTGCTGGAGCTGCTGGAAGGCGGCGAGATCCGTCAAGACCGGTGGGCGATGCCTGAGGAGGCGGCCGGCGACGAGGAGCAGCCATGGTGGTTCGACGACCTCGACGACGACGACAGTGAAGAGGACGAGGGCGAGGAGTTCAGCACCCCGTCCCCCTCTTCCTCCTCGTCAACCACGAGCAATGAAAAGAGATCCATTCTTCAAAAAAAATGTTAGTTTGTCCTAAGGGGAGGTTGGGGCCCACTTTGTAAATACAAGATTATCTTCTTAGTGTATGTATGATGATGAAAAGTAAATATACGTACCATACCAGTCTCCATCGATCATGACATGATACATACATGTAGACGTCAAAGTGTGTACTTGCCCTGCGCATAATACGGGCGATTTTGCGAGGATAATGATGTGGTTTATTAGCTAGCCAGGGGCGAACTGAGATTTCGTCGGCCGGCGACAGGACAGGTTTGGACTGGACTAGCGCTTGAAAGGCGCGTGTGGTGCCGCAGCTGCTGGCGACTTGGCTGCTTGCATCAGTTGGGTTACAGTTGGGACGAATGTGACCAAAGCGTGACACTAATTTATTAGTGAGCAGATGGGGGCTGCGCGAGCGCGACCGGGTGGTTCGCTGCCAAGTGGTCTCGACCTCTCGCTTTCTCCATCTGGTGGTGGCGGTACACACTAAGGGGTGTTTGTTTCTTACGAACTTTAGTCGTTGTTTTATCGGATGTTTAGGATATATATGGAGTATTAAATATAAATTAATTATAAAACTAATTGCATAGCTCGTGACTAATTTGCGATGAATCTTTTAAGTCTAATTAGTTCATGATTTGACAATATAGTGCTACAGTAAACATGTGCTAATGATGGATTAATTATGTTTAATAAATTCGTCTCGTGGAGTACTGACGAATTCTGTAATTTATTTTTTTATTAGTATCAAACACCCTATACGGTATCCTCATGACACCAACTAAATTTTAAATTTTAAGTCATCGATCCACACACCCCTTGAAAGCCAGAAAGGGGCAGTTTGCGACAGGTCGAGCTGTGCCCGGTAAAGCAGCGTGACATGTGTGTGCCCGGCCACCGCTCCAGCCCCCAGGAGTCCAGGACCCCCGCAGGTGTAGGCGTGTACTAGCAGCTGGTGGTGTCCATCTTTCCAAGCCCTGAACTAGGCCACGGGAGTTGTTGGGCGTGTCTCGAGCTCGGCGAGCAGCTCCCTTTGGATAAGGGCAAACAAGGAGCGGTTTCTGTTTAGAAAACGTTAAACAAGTAAACTACGTGGGGTACTACTAGCTTCAAAGGAGCACACTGGTTTGCATGCTGCCTATAATAGCCGGCCAACGAGTCTAGCATTGGTTTTAGAATATCTTTTGTGTGGTGCGTGTTCTTCAAGTAGATACTGTAGTGAGTACAGTAACATGAATAGTGGCGCTGGCACTCGATCTTCGACGCCCTTTTTGTGGGGATGCCTGATTGCTTCGACGCTCTGCCAAATGATTTGGTCTGCAGCAGGGTCGTGCAACTGTACAGGGCCTTCCATTCGTAGGGGCCTTAAAAATTATGGTTCCGGCTCTATAGGATTCGTCGTCAACATTGCGTCTCTTCTCAGTGACGTTACAAAATACATCTAGCCTGTATCGGCCTGTCACCCCGTCTAAGCGTCTTCATATTGCCAATCAAGCAAGCTGATGCCGAGTGACTGAATCGCCATCCGCACATGACTTAAGAGTGGAGGCTACCAAGAGTTGAATATATACCATCCTTGATTTATCGCAATGCTATGTACATGTTATTATCGTTCTATTTATCTAGGCTGATAGGGTCTATTTTAGAGTTTGAAACAAGGCCCTGGATTTTATCGGCCCTGATCTGCAGCAGCACAGCACAATACTCCTCTGGCTGAGTTTAGTGGTTTCTAGAATCTGGAGGTCAGTTGGGAGGATGCGAGACAAGAAAAGAATCGTGTACTACCACAACCGGCCGGACGGTGAGTCGGTGATCAGGTAGTAGAGCAAGAATTCGTGTCCCTTTTACGTGTCGCCAGCGTCCAGCAGGGAATCATATCTCCACTGTTTTAGTAGGCGGTTTAGGTACCCAAACCCAAACAGAGAGGTAACACATGGCCAAGCCAATGCAGGTCCAGGCGTGCCGAGTCTCTGACCTAATCTGACCTATCGCGAAAGAAACGTTTGTTCTTTACAAACGACAAGCTAGAGAGGTTCAGTGCTGGAGCACGGTCAAACCTACCTTGTCCTTAGGGCACGGTACTTGTATTGTTGGCGAAGTTCAAACCAAACTGGGATTGTTGTTCCCAACGCCTAAACAACGTGGGAGATTGGGAATGACGTGGAATAGGGAAATCACAAAGCAAGCATTTCAGAAATGATATATAAGGTCAAAGAAAATAAGTCCATATTTTTAAAGAGAAACCTAGGCATGACTTCATCTAATAGTCAGCAAACTAGGCGTCTCTGTCTCATTAACAAATTATAAAGGCGGACAATTCCCAGGGTCATCACTTGCACAGCTGCACCAACTAAATGCTAAGATAAGGGCTGCCTGATGGTTAACTGCTGTTGACAGTCCACCGGACCAGCAGCTAATGTTCCACAGCAAAGGTATGAAAGGTGTTGCTCAACAAGGCTAATTACACGCTTTTCCCTTAAATGCAGCTTAAACTGTTTGGATTACAGCCTTATGCAACACAAAGGAATTGTTTTGGTTGGCCTGATTTCGATGTCAATGTCTCACGACGCAATAAACTAACCAAAAAAAGAAGCAAATACAGTACAAAGCCATGTTAATATCAGCAGGCCCTTTATTTATGACATTCATTTCCTGCTAGATGAATGTAGTTGTGAAATGCCGGGTTCCAGAAGTCTATTCTAGTGAACACTGATCAATAATGCTGGTACATGGATGAATGTACAAATGTTTGAGTTGAATTTCAATTTTCTTGTAACAGACTTTCATTGCATTAACAGGCATTAGAATATGAACTAGTGGTCTATCAACATAAATCTTCCAGAAACGTATAAGATAGATTTCTACTTATTGAAATTTCCTTAATGGTATGAACAGTAATTATGGGGCATGGGGCAATCAAACTGCCATGGTTCAAAAAAATCAAATGTGCAGGGAGGCTGGAAAAAGGAGACCCTGCTGTATTTGTCTATTTAACTACGATAATATCTAATTTCACCTATATAATAGTTTAGGTAAGGAAACATATTTATAATCATACAGCTATATAACGTTGGATAATCAGAAGACAAAAACAAAACAATGACCGGGAAGCACAGTGTCGGGTATCGATATTAAGGGTACCCAAAGCAAGGAAGTTAGCGTCCACGCTGACTTCCCCGGATGACTCGAGACGTATTAAAAGGTCTCGTCCGACCTCAAGGCCATGGGCTCCGTCTCGCCCAACCCCTTGGGTACGGGCTCTGTCTCGTCCGACCCTAAGGACGCGGTTTCTGTCTTGTCCGACCCTAAGGACACGGTTTCCGTATCGCCCGACCTCAAAGCCGCGGGCTCCATCTCACCCGACCTCAAGGCCGCGGGCTCTGTCTCTATCTACCTACAAATTTCACACAATGCAATGTCTAAACTACACATGACAGTTACAAGTTTACATCATAACTGAAGTTCTACTTATCCAAATGTTGTGATCTTGGACTTTCTAGAAAGCTTATAGAATTTCCTACAACTCTTATTTAATCACCAAAAGCTAATTCACAATCTATCAAAACCAAAATAGGCAATCTATCTAGTGTTGTCTAGAAATTCTAGAGAACAAGCATTTCAGAAGACTAACTTTAAACAACTATAACTCCTAAACCCTTTGTCCTATAGACCTGAAATTTTAACACAAGATATATGAAGTTCCCTACAACTTTGTTGTTAACCACTTCTACAGAAAAACATCATTTTGACTAAGCAACATGTCCAATCACAGAATATGTCCGAAAACACTTCTAAATCGAATTATAAAGCAACAATATTTTTACTACATATAAATATTCCAAATTTGACATCCCAAGTATACCAACAGTTCAAGAACATCAAATACACTTAAGAAAACATAATGGTAAAGACCAAACTATTTATTTAAATGCCTTTATCAATTTAATTAGATAATTAGGGAAAATAACAAACATATACCAAATGTGCACAATAAATTCTCAGAAAATTACAGTGGCTTTCAAGTGCTACCAATAGACTACTGTAAAAGTTTCATGCCATTTGACCATGTATAACATACTTTACAAAAATGACAAGCTAGCAAGGCCAATTTTAGTGAAAATAGTAAATCCTATAGAAAAGTGTCAAACAACAGATTATATATTTTTCCTAGCTTCATATTAGGTCCATACTACTGCACAAAAAATTGCATATCAATATGTTCTATATTTTCATCCCTACAATTTTCCACAGAAAATACCATTTATTACTAGATAAATAGAAGGACCCTACTTAACTCAAATTTACAGCAAGTTTATTATTTTTTCTAGCTAGAGCATGTCAACACAAGTCCAACAAAATTAGAATCACAATTTTATGAGTTTTCTAGCTCAAGATATCTAATTTATAAGTTTACTAACATTCAAAAAGCACTTATCTAAATACATTTTAATCACTAAGAAAAATACCATAAATTGTACATTTCATATCTTTACAAAACACTACACTTCATGAGGATTACAACAAATTTTGGTTCACAAGAATTGGACCTCTAGAACTCCACCTATGATTTTTCAAAGTTGCATACAAATATGAAAATAAATGAACTATCTTTCTCAAACTGAATCGCTGACGGGGTCCACGAAACAGACGGGCCCGCATGTCAGTGAAAGCAAAACAGAGGAACGGCGCGGGATGGCCGGAGTTCGCCGACGGCGAGCCTCTCCAGCGACAGCACCGCTACTACGAGCATCCCCACTACATCCCACACCTATTGAGCTATCTAGTTGGACCTATTGCCGGAGCTAACGACGACGGCGGCGTCCATGGCGGTGCGGCGGAGCGGGCCGACGGCGAGGCACCAGAGCTGGCCGTAATAGCTCGATCTAGGGTTACGACGAGCTTCAACATCCTACGATGGTTCTAACGCACACACTAGGAGGATCAGCGGTGGTCGGAGACGGCCCGACCACGGCGATGGGGCACGGCGGCAAAACACCGGCGAGGCCGTGCGCGGCGAGAAGACC